AGTGAAGATACCTAATACTCCCACCCCCTATTTCCCCCACGACAATCAATGTGTTGTCGCGAACAACGCCCCCCCCCACCCCTGCGCGCGCTCAGCGGGCCACGGTAAAATGATCAAAGGCTGACTGGTCCGCGGCAATAAAAAGGTTGGGGACCACTGTACTAGACCACCTCATAGAAATATCAAACTATTATAGATTATGCATAGTAATTCATGACTTATGCAGTCCCATACAACATTTAGTAAACCAAATTTAGGGGGAAATTTAGTCAGGTAACATGAATCAATAAATGGGAACAAGATGCAGAATACAATTAAAGTTTTGGGGCTATTTGGTGATCCCTGAAAGAAGGATGACTCATCTGCTTGATTTAGGTAAAGATTTATTCATACATATTATGGTGGGGGGGAATCTTAGTTAATAAAATAAAAATATAAAACAAACATTAAACAGACTGTAGCAGAAACTATTGGTAATAGCCTTGAAGAAAACAAACTCTACCTGCCTGATGAGCTGACGTGACTCCCAAGCTGATGAAAATCACTTATCTGCTCTGAGGATAAAAATAAAGTATGCAGGTGTAAGGAAACGAATTGAAGAATAAATATGTGGGTATTTATAATATAACCCTGTTTTGCTATTTTTTATTACAAGAAAACCAATTTTGTTGTATTTAAGTACAATGACAATAAAGATTATACTTATAAATTAATTAAATGCGGAGTATAATTGAAAACCTGTATATTCTGCTGTTTCTAGCCATGTGCCTTTTTCTTTTTTGAAGGAGTGCCTGATATTTGATGAAATATGGAATATTTAGAGGCTTGTTTTAACTTCAATAGTTTCTTAGAATACTATTTTAATGGGCAAAAAGTATTTTGTAAGTGGGTGATGATGGAATAGTTTTACCCATTTTTCTCATCTCATGTCTTCAACTTCTTTGGCTTATTTTTTTTAACATAACTTTGCTTATCACAAAAAGGGAAAGCACAAAGGGTATCTAAATGCATCAGTAGCCAAAAACAACAACCAAAAGAAATAAACCCTATCATTAACCTAAAGAATGTAATTCTGTAGGATATAATTATAACTAATGAAAATGACAAATAAGATGAACCTATATTATATGTTAGTCTATTCTATATCAAGTCTGACTGAGTAAAACATTTCAAAACTTCAGAAATTATCACGTAACGCTATTTATTTAGGCTTTCTGTAAAGAGGATATCTTAAAAGTATAAGAGCCCATTAAATAATTTCAAACTAATGGCTCATTCGATGCAATTTCCGCAGCAATCCTGCAGTCGAGTTCTCCTTTCCTATCTAGGATTACTTCATCTGGATAAACTGGGGAATTAGCCTAACTTTCTGCAAAAAACCAAAAAAGCACATACTCAAATATCGAGTTTTTCTCTGTTTGGAGGACAGCAATAATAATGGTACAAATATAAACCCCAATAAATAACATTACGTTATAGTCAGATAAAAGGCGCTAGGGCAAGGAAAATCTGAATTAACAGTCGTTTCCAAGTAATTCCGGCACCGCAATCTTAAACGTACTGTAGTAGACGCTGTTCTCCTGACTGCAAAGACTCCGGTAAGCGAGGCTGTCGGGAAAAACGTGGCAGAATTCGAGACACAAGAAATTCCTCTTTTCGTCCAGCACCTCCGCAGCTGGAAAACCTGGGGGGGCGGATGTTTCGTGAGAAAGGAATACGTCATGCCTACGCCAGCCAATGACTTCACTTTGTGGACGTCCGATCTAGAAGTCCTCTCGCGTTCCGAATTGGCTTGGCTTCCTTCTCGCTCGCCGTAGTTATCCCCAAGATGTCGGCGGCCGGTGACGTGCCGGTCCGGGTTTGCAATCAGGAGATTGTCAAATTCGACCTGGAGATTAAAGCTGCCGTACAGGTATCGTTCCCGCCGCCGTTGTTCAACCATTCATGGTGTGATCGCTGGGCATTTTATTTATAAGCCCGTAACTGCCCGTTTCTCTTTATCAATGGTCGACCCTCTGGTACAGGTTGGTTCAACTGCATCCTCCAGCCAGCCTTGTATTAGCTGGGCGGGTCAGTTTGGCTCAACTTAATGAAGATCTGTGCTGTTATCAATGTTGCAGTCACTTGTCCGTTTTGGCGGCCCCAGATTTGGCCAACTGCTTCTTTGAACGCTGTAATTTGTCAGCTGTTTGTTTTTCCTACTCTGATGGGTGATGGTAATTTCATCTGGCATCCCCCCTTCAAATGGTTATGTTTTTTTAAAAAATAAATAAATACTTGAACTTACAGTATCCCATTGATATATCATCCATCCTTCCTTCCTGAAATTGCTGCATTTTGTGTGTGTGTGTGTGTGTGTGTGTTCCAAGAGAACATCAGTGCAAAAAGTATTTGTTGTGTTGGTTAAATTTAAGTTTTTTGTCTTCTCCCTGGGAATTTACAGTGATTTAAATTACACTCCTTCCTCTTACTGTATTCCCACAACAAACAACTCTGGGTAATAGGCTGAGTTGAAAGGGTGACTAGTTCAAAGTCACCCAGTAGAATTCCATGGTTGAGGATGGACTAGAATCCATATATTAAGAATCTTTCAAGTCCTAGGCTGACATTAGAGTTTTCTTATTTTTCAGGATATCCGGGATTGTACAGGACCTGTAAGTGCGCTTGCAGAATTGAATGCCAAAGTAAAAGAAAAATTCCAGCATGTACGACTCAGAATACAAGTGAGAAATATTGACAAAATACTAGTGATGTTTTGAAAATAAACTCATAGATGTTTTTACTAGCTTTCAGCTCTCACAGGTTGCACTCACCTGCATGTAGTTCCTTGTTGCTTGAACGCTAAGCTGTTGTAAAAGTGTTTTTAAGGTGTTTAACATTCTTGTATTTATATCTGTCAGCAATGGTCAAAGACACAAGTTACACAGCTTTGATTCACTAGAGCTCATAGTAGAAATGTTGAAAATGTCATGAATTTATTTTACTGCTCTTTCAGTTATGTGCATTTGAAAATCTTATAATGCCTAATGCTGAATATCTCTTAGATATGATCTATGCATTACTATATTACTATAATATAATATAAAAGGATAATTCATAGTCTCAATATGTTAAAGACATATGATGTAGTGGATAAACAACTTGAAAAACAGTTGTAGAGAAGGAAGAGTGGAAATTTCAAAGAATAAACAAATTTACCTCAAACATACTTAGAATTGATGTAAGATGTTCCAATGTTGGAACATTACTATTAGTTGCTGATTTCTTTTTTTTAAAAAACATTCTGGAAATCTAACCGAATGTTGGCTCTTTTTTCATATGTAGAGACAATGTTGTAAAGTCCAACAATACTGAACAATGATTTAATCAATTAAAATACAGTAACAAAAGTAGTTCTACTGGGGGGGAGGGGCAGGGATGGGAAAAGTTAATGTCTTTTAATTAGAGGAACATCATGTGGAATCTGGTTTTGCTAGTAATCGTTTTCCATTGGGAATGTGTATATATTTTCTTCATATCAGCTGGTTCTGCATCAGAATTGTCATGTCAGTTCACCTTCAACTGCATAAAATATGGCCTTTAGTTTTATTCTATTTACTAAGTAAGCAAGTTGGCTTACCCTCCAAACTCTACTAAAGGACACCAGGTGTTCTGTTCATGCTCTGTAAATAATCTAAGAATCAAAGATGTGTACTGACTTGTTTCCTGGATAAGATAAGGAGAGAGATTACAACATTCTATGGCTCTTGATTGTTGGTATAAAGGTGGACTATTCCATCTAGATATTCAAAAGGTGATTCAAACTGCACACTACTACTAAGAGGGATGTTATAGGTCCTTCATTTGAAAGTTGGTAAATAGCAACACTGAAAAATTTTGACAGCCCTAATGTATCACATTTTATTTGCAACCAAGGCATTTTGTATTTGTGCATTTACTAGCATATTTCCTTTTTGTACATAGAAGTGTTCATAAATAATTTGGGTTTATGGTTCTTTTTAGGAACTTGAACAGATGGCTAAGGAGCAAGATAAAGAATCAGAAAAACAAGTATTACTCCAAGAAGTAGAGAACCATAAAAAGCAAATGCTCAGGTCAGTTAAAAATTTCAGGTTACCAAGATCAATGATGTAATATGTCTTATTAACTGGCCTGCAGAATAGGACGTTGGGAATATAGGAAGCCCTGAAGTTATCCCTCACCCAAGATTTGATTGATTGTATATTTCAGTTCTATACTTCACTTTTTGTAAGCAACTCCCTACTTCTTTTTAAATTAATCAAAGCCCTTAATTAACCATTAGTGGTTATTATGCAAGAAGGTAATCGCCTGCCTTCAATGACTTTTTACTTTTCTTCTGTACTCCCAGATTTACTCAAAAAGCTTCTTCAACCCTGCAGAGCAGATTTGGAAGGCATGGATAGGAAGGAGGAGTTCAGTTGGACACAATCCAAGAAGGACTCATGAGGGGGGAAAAGTTTTAAAAGTAAATAATACCTTGTGCATGTTTGTTCAGGGGAACAATCTCTGCTCTGTTGCCTTACACATAGCAATTTATCAATTAAACATCAAGGTAAAATTCAGCTCTGTAAAATGAGATGAAATGATGGGATTGGAGAACCGCTTGAAGTAATAATGGACCAGAACAGTTTTTGTTGGTTTGTTGGTTTGTCTCTCTGTCAAGTATCCTAGTGTTCCTTTCTCAGATAAATAAAGGATGTGGCTTTCAAGTTTAAAAGTACAGGTTTATGATAACAGGACTGACTTTTGTTTTTAGCTGGTACTCAACCTGTTATGCATAGGGATCTCTAGAAAGCAGTATCTAAACATCTCCATTAAATTTAGTGGGCTTTCTTCCTTTTTTTCATGGAAAAAAATAATTCCCTACAATACTCTGTTATTACAATTAGCTATGACTTTCAATCAGTTGATGGAAAATAATAGTTTGATCCAGGCCATCCATCCAGTGCTAGAAACATCATCATAAAGATTGCCAAATGTTTGGATAATAGTCATTGATTTTGGTAAGTATCAAGATACTTTCACTGTTAAACAGACCACTAAGGAACACTATTAATGTGGTGATAAGATATAAAGAAATAGGAAAATAAATATACAATATAGTTTTTAATATAACAGGAATGTTAAATGTAAAATATAACATTTTATAAAATTTATAAAATGTTAATTAAGCCAATGGCAAATTGAATGCTTTAGTTTTATGGATTCAGATATCTCAGGAACTTTGTATGTCATACAAAGGTGTGTATTAATAATTTCAGCAATCAGACTGCCTGGCGTAAGGCAAACCTAGCTTGCAAAATTGCAATTGACAATTCTGAGAAAGATGAATTGCTGCGAGGAGGAGATCCTTTACGACAAAGGTATGTAATTATTCTTTTTCATTTTTATCAAAAATTGGCACAGAAATTCCCAACCTCCTGCTAAATACCATTTCAGAAATTCATTCATGTGAACCATTATACATCAATGTTGTTCTCATTTGCAATGAGTTTTGTGAGATGCTGCTGGGAAGCCAGACAACCGAAGTTCTCTCTTGCTGATTTCAGCCCCTGCACTTAATAAGAAAGTTAAATGATTGTGCAGTATTAAGAATGACTTTACATTGGCTTGAATACATTTGGGCTAATTTATAAAGTATTCTTGAATATTAAATTGTTGATCAGTAGTAATAGGAATAAGTAGGCACGGCTTTTTTGCTCTTAAAGAGTTTACCTGAAAAGGGTCTGTCCCAAAAGCAGAATTTTGATATGCAGAAGGTACAAGGTATTTGCAATCAGTCCCCAGAAATAAGAGGGAGTCTGTGCAAAAATCTTGCTTGGATTTTGGGATAGTTCTTTTTCAGCCAGCCCTCAGAAACCAGAGGGAGCCCTCCTATCAGGTGGCAGAGGCATGCAACATTTCCTGCTGGGGAAATAATTCCCCTATTGACATGCTGGGGAAGCCAGCAGAGAAGATTGCAAATGGCGATCAGATGATTACAATCATGCGACCATGGGGATGCCGAAGTGACCATAACTTCAGGCATGTGTCATAACACCATCCATTCAGCACCTTCAAAGTTTCAAATGGTGGCTGAACAAATGGACATTAAGTGAGGATTATAACATTTGTAATTAACTTTCTAGTCAAGCTACACTATATTGCCAAAAGTATTTGCTCACCCATCCACATAATCAGAAGCAGTTGTGAGCGAATACATTTGGCAGTATAGTGTATATAATGTTGCAAAGGGAAGATCCTGGATTCTTGCAGTAGTAGCTAATATTTGTTCATTATTATGGATTCAGTTAACATTTATTACATCTCATTAATGCAGAAACCACATAGCTTAGAATCATAATCTAGACTGAATAATTGAACAAAATATCTTAGCAGAATGGAGTGGCAAATTATCTGCATCATCCCAGGGATATAATTTAAAGCATGTTTGCAATTGTACTGGAATGCAATTGTGATGCCATTTTTTATATGGTTCTCCTGAAAGAAGAAACTAGAAAGGAATATAATTTGAAGCTCCATGTTAGATTTCTTTTTCTCTTCTCTTTTAGAAAGTCTACTAAGGAAAGTCTGGCAGAGGGGGCAAGTAACATCACAGAGAGCCTGATGGGAATTAGCAGAATGATGTCTCAGCAGGTTCAGCAGAGTGAGGAAACCATGCAATCTCTAGGTAATTAAATAATCTGGATTTAAATTCAAGATGGACAGTTGGTCTTCAGATGCAACAGGTTCTTTCCACCCCATCCCTATATCCTCTCCAGAGCCATTGACCTTTACTTATTTATATGGTGCTTTGATGAGAGGAAGAAACAAGGAGAATTAGGCCTTGTGTACCTTCCTCTCACTGGAGATGTTTATGAATTCAGCTTTCTATGTGGGAGAATCATTGCCACTTTCTCATTAAGGCCTAAGTAATCTGTCACGTATAGGAATATTTGATCAAGAATTAAAGGAATAATGTCATTTGGTGCAACCAAGAGGTACTGAGAAGATGTATTTTTAGTCTGTCAGATTCAAGCATTTCTTTTCTTGGCAATTGAATTTTTAAAGTCGCTTGGTTTAAATAGAAATGAATGCTTCTGCACCAGAGACAAATTCTTTGTGTGTCTAATCACACTTGTCCAAATAAAGTCTCCTCTCCTCTCTTCAATTCCATTCCATCAAGCACAGTACTGGAGAGAAAAATGCCTTGCCCTTAGATTTAAGGGCAAGTTGCCTTTCCATTTAAGTGATTCACACCTTTCTCCCCCCCCCCCTAATTTTATCTGTTATTTTAATACCTTGGTTTATGATGATGACCTCAAAAGAAGGCAGCACCTAGTTTATCTTGCTAATTCCAAAGAGAATTGGACCTGACTAGCACTTGGATGGGAGACCACCTGAAAATCTCAGAGGTGGAAAATGCATATTACAAGGAATGTGTATAGCACAAAGCAGACTGACTGTACAAATATTATTTCTGTGGACTACTTGCTCACTTTCCTTAGAGTCCTTAGGTTCCCTTTGAGATTATTTAAATATGCTGTAATCCATTTTGGGGTTGGGGAATCAGATTTGGATTTGCCATTGGGTATACTAGGAAATGATTGTCTGGTTAATGCTTTGTCATTTTGTTTTGTGATAAAGAGTTATGTGTGTGTACATCCAGTTTTCACCTCCTAACAGTGGCAACTAGGAGAAAAAGTATTTTTATTTGCTTCAACAGAAGATGTTAGGAATTAAGCTAACTGTCATGTGCTTTGGAAAACTCTGTGGTTTTATTGAGCAAACTCTTCCACTATATGTTTATGTTAGCTCTTTCCCTCTTAGTTTTTAACTGTAGGCCTAAAAGACTTAATGCTTTTATCTGATTTTAGATGGATCAGATTGCTTTAACTAAATGCTTATGAATGTTTATACATTGCTGTTTTAATTATTTACATCTGCCTTTTTAAAGTGTTTGTGAACAGCCTTAAGGGAGAGTATGGTCTGTTGGGATGCAGAGTTTGGCTGAGGTGAAAGTTTTAATGGTTCTGGAACTTGAGCCAACTCTGATCTCAGTCTTTTATGAATGGGCCTCTTTAAGAAGGTAGCATATCAATCAGCTGGTCATCAGATAACAAGAGAGCCATTTGAATTGATTTCATCTGGCTCCAGATTTAAAAACATGAAGCTTTAAGCCAATTTACCCAGTGAACAGATGTGGTATGTTTTCTTTCACGGGACACAATAAGATCCTTCCACAATATAGGATTTTGCTCGATGCTTTGGGAACAATCCACTGAAATGTACATTTTTATCTTTCAGTTAGTTCTTCGCGAACTATCTTGGATGCCAATGAGGAGTTTAAGTCCATGTCTGGAACAATTCAGCTGGGGCGAAAGCTTATTACAAAGTATAACCGCAGAGAGCTGACTGATAAATTGCTCATCTTTCTTGCCCTTGCCTTGTTTTTGGCTACTGTGCTTTACATCTTGAAGAAAAGACTATTTCCATTTTTGTGATCATTTTAGGTGAAAGGAAGAAGCATGACTGGGGGAAAAAAAAGAAAGGCAGTATATTGCAAAAAGGCTCCTGACAGAAGAAACTTCCATTAGGCAAAACTTTACATTGAACTAGTGAGCCAAATGAGCAGCAGGTTAGAACAAGAGGAAAAAGTGCTTATTTGCTCTGAGGCTGGAAGGCTGTACCACTTGTCATATTCTATGAGACATATTCCTACATCCCTCATCTTTGGCCATTTCTACCCCCTTTCTCAGTTCAGTACAGAACTGAGAGAACTAAAAGAATACTAATAAACATGTATATATATATATATTGTATATTATACCTTTGGTAAAGTAGATGTGAATGCCAGTACTGTGAAAATCTTACAAATTAAAGGAAGCAAGGTGTATAAGAGGCCTTATTACTGGTTCTTTTTGAATGATTAAAAAAATGTCCATTTCCTCAGATTATCTCCAGAAAAAGCAATGAGGCAAATCTCCAAATGCCTTTTTAGTTGATGGGTCTATATTATTCATTCATATGTTTTTCTTGCCAGTATTATTTAGATAGATTTCTTCACTTCATCCCAGATTCTAGTTCTCCCCTATGTAGGGAATGACTACATTGGATGACTGGGCCAATTAATCTCTCTCAGATCTAGATTACTTCCAGGTAATCAAAAAAAAATTCTCTATCAATTGTACTGGACCAGTGTACTAGATTATACCCATGGCCTTCGCGAAGAGGACTTCATCCTGCACTGGATTGATTCAGCTTGATTGTAATACCCTAAATGTTTGTTACTGTATTGAAGTGAAAAAAATGGTACAGTAAATATGTTTTCCTCATTTCTACTGTAAATAGAGGTGGATAGAGGGCAGATGAAAAAAATCACTATTCCTGATTATAGACCAAGTATATTTTAGTTTATAAGCCACTTTTGAAATCTTTTATCTATAAACTGTCCAGAGTCGCTCTATGAGTGAGATCCAAATTTAAGAAATAATTAAATCTTGCCAAGAAAACTCCAGGGAGTTGGACTGGTAATTGCCAGGACTCAACACTGACTGGAAGCCCTGTGTGTGCACACTTAGCCCTGCGCGCACAAACACACACATTGAGACTGTGGTTTTGTGTGTATGCCACAAGATGGCACTGAAGGACCATATTTCTAAAAATAACGGACTGTTCTTTAATTTGCAGCTTTGAATAGGCAACTATTCAAAATAATAGTGTTGCCTTAAAGCATAAAATGCTAGACAGAGGGGAGTCAAAGAAGCAAACTGCACTTAAAAAGAAATTACTGATCGAGCTCTGGTATATTTTGCACTAATGCTTATATTTGTCTTTAGTTCTCTTATTAAATTAATATTTATTTCAATCTTAACAAGCAAAAGAACTATATAAACATTGTTATAGGTTTGCATGTGATACGACTAGATTATTTTTTTTATTATTATGTTTAAAAACCAACTTCTGAAAGAGTTCTCTGGCATACTGTAAGAGTGTAAAATATGCTGTGAGTGTGTAGAATTCAGTTGAGATCCCAACATACAGATAAACCTCAGTGGAGATAGGATGCGCTACAATCTAAGGCAGTGTTTCTCAATGTTGGCGACTTTAAGTCCTGTGGACTTCAACTCCCAGAATCCCCCAGCCAGCTGTGCTGGGAATTCTGGGAGTTGAAGTCCACAGGACTTAAAGTCGCCAACGTTGAGAAACACTGGTCTAAGGTCTTATGCAACTGTGTGGCTGACAGCCCCCTACTTTGTGGTGTGGCCCAAAACATCCAGTAAATTGACCCATGCTGAGAGGCTGGTTTTCTTTAAAAACCCATAATAATAGTGGTCCAATTGATAAACTGCAGTCTAGTTTTCATCAATTGGATTAGCCACTTTAACCACAAATGCCTATATGTCAAATCTGGGAGACATTTTCTTTGACTAAAGAACTTTTTCCAAGACGCTGGCTTTCAATTCCATTCTATAATTTATGAAATTGAACATCATCAACAAAAGAAAGCAGAGCAAGGAGGCCGTGACTAAAAACAGTTGAGCAGGAGGCTCAAAGGACCTCTCCACCTGCACACCTGCAGTGAGCCCTGGCAATACGCTGAAACCAAAAATCTTACTTAATGAAAGCACAGTTGACTAATTCAACTATATCGGCTCTGTTGGTTTTATTTGGCTATCTCTGTGATTAATTAGTAAGTTCTCTCCTTTTGTTTGTATATTTCTCATTATCCAATAAATTCTATTTTTATGCCTATATATATTGCTGCTTTGACTTAATAAGTTGATTGCTTATTAAAATCTCCATGTGCAAGCAGTTGTGGAACTACTACTTGTATTTCATGAATGGTACAACATTTAGTAACAGTTGTTACTTGAGGATTTGGAGGGAACGGTCCAAAAACGTTTCTGTTTTACTTTTCTTAAAACTGATCCAAAGGGAGAAATCCTTGGTAAAAGGGCTAAGGGCGCTGGGTGATTTTAAGTTGGAAATACAGAGGTTTATTTTATTTTTATGAAATGCTGCTTCTTTTAACTGGCGATGTCACCAGAGTAGTTTCAGAGTTGGGTGGCCTTGAAATATCACCAATACATAAAATTAGTGGACTAAAATTTCAGTGAACGAATCAGGACTCCACAGATAAATAAGAATGTATCAAGACCACAAGTATAGCCTATTAGTGCATTTTACTGGAAATCCTTCTCAAAGGATGAATGCTAGTGAGATTCTAAATTATTTCTCAGCCTAGTTTGTAACATATCAGTAATACTAAATGAAGGATGAAAATTTGATTCTCCAGATTTTGTTGAATTGCAGCTTTCACTGCCCCACCAGCATGGCCAATCGGCGGTCTGATTGTTCACAGTTTGCCAAGTTTGAGAAACCACCAAACAACGTAAGCAAAGAGAAAGGGCGGGGAGGGGGGAATCTGCAGTGCTGACATGAGTTGAGGTAGGGAGAATGTGCTTACGGCGGAGAAATGCTTTCCACATTAAGAAACTTCTCCCAAATGGCTGGATGAATTCACTGCTGGAGTGTTTCTAAAAATGCCACCCCCAGATGCATGCAGTGGCTGTCGCCTGCCAAGTGGCACAGCCATGTATGCCAGCTGGGAGAGGAATGGGCATGGCTGGCTGGAATCCATCTGGGTTGAGAATAGCCAATCTCCAGATGCAAGCCTGCTTGTAAGTAAACATAGCTCCTCTCTAGAGCAGATCCAGAGGCCAGGTGGGCCACCACCTAACTACCATTTGCCAAGATTATTGAGAGAGAGAAACATTTCCAGATGATTTGCCAAAACCTATGCATATTTTACAAGCAATGTGAAATTATTTTTTATTTTTTCTATTTAGATTTAAACACAATAGTACATACCCATTTTGGAGTTTGCTTAGAGTGATTTCTTTTACAGTTTGATCCCGTGACCCGACAAAAGAGCGAACGACAAAACTGTGCCCGACTAAACCGCGTCACTAAAACCACGACGTCATCAGCGCAGTGACAACAGCACGGAGACAGAAGGGCGCTTTACAACAGCGCATCAGCAGAAAGCCGATTTAACTTAAGGGTTAGGTTTAGGGTTAGGTTTAGCCTTACGTTTAGGGTTAGGGTTAGGTTTAGCGTTACGTTTAGCGTTACGTTTAGCGTTACATTTAGCATTAGGTTTAGGGTTAGGTTTAGTTTTACAGCGCGCTTCTGTCGCCACGCTGTTGTTGGCGCGATTCAGCGCTCATTTGTCGGAGCGCTTTAGAACACACGGTTTTGTCACCGCGGTTTAGTCGGGTGCGGTTTTGTCGTTCGCCCTTTTGTCGGTGAACCGTTTGATCCCATTCTCATTCATGGAAAAGGGAAGATCTCAGACAATGTTCATTCTGTTTTCCAGGGAATTTTGACCAGATCAATAGACAGTTCTGCCTATTACATACAAAATCTGCCTCTGCTAGCAGAATACATAATATAATTTTTATTAGGAAGAGAATTGCTAACCATCATTCAGTCTGCTCATTACTGTCTTATTCAGAACTTCTACTGGATTACAATGAATTTCTCCATAAATAAATATGTTCAGGAGTAGTATTGTTTGATGAGTGCTTATTTACCTTAGTGAACCACAAAACATACTGGTAGTTTGGAGCAGACATGCATAGAACTGAGTTACCACTTTGATTTTTTCCTTCCCTCTATCCCTTTCTTCTTTTAATATAATTCACCTTTAGTCTCTAAAAATAGATGGGCTTGATATGTGAATAAATGCAAATAGATTCTCAATTATTACTGTATGTTGGGTGAACCTGTTTTAAAGCAAAATGCTACTGAATTAGAGGGTTTGATCAAATTGATCAATCCATTTTAAGTTAAGTATATTTACTTTGGAATTGCAGCAATGTCAGCCTAGGAAATAGAGGTTCAAATCCTTTCTTGGCCTAGAAGCTGATTGGCTGAGCCAGTCTTTCTGTCTCAGCTACATCTATCATGACTCTTATTAGAGAACATGGGGGACTTTGTGATGTCTCAAATGTCTTAGTTCAATGATGGACTTTCACTCCCATCATTTCCACAGTCAATCTGGAAAGTACCAGCTTGAGCACAGCTGCCATTGAGGAAAGTGCAATCTCAATACAATTAATAGAGTGGATCTCATTGATGTGCATGGAGAAATCTGTCTTGCCGCATTCTTTGTTGCTGAACTCATTAAGGGTTTTAAAAAGTGCTTATCTTTCACTGGATTATAATGTAGGCTCTTGGATCCATTTAGCAGATTAACACAGAGACACTATATTCCTGCCTCTTGTTCAATTGCTAATGACTGAACAGATTCGAGCATCTCTTTCTATTTCTTTGCCATATTAGCAGGCTTAACCAAGTCTTTTCTAATGCTTGTTGAGATAAAAGATAGATAAGAGTTGCTATTTGAGTTAAAGGAGATAACTACGCCTCAGTACACAAACTTTATGTGTGGCAGTGGGATGCTGCCACGCCGTAGGGCTAAGGATCAATTCACAGGGATCAACCAATGGTCAGCAATGTCCCTTGTATTCTACCACCCAAATGATGTACTTAAAACCTGTCAACGTATTGGTCCCCGAACTTTTAAGTGATTTTTATAGCCAGGTATTGGGTTTTACCTGACAGTCCACTTTTATACATATGGGAATCTGCTTTGAACTGGGGTCTGGATTGAAAACCTCAACCTCTGTGGTGGGCTATCATGGTTGTTGACCACAGTGGTTTCTGGAAGCATTGGTAACTGTCAACGAAACCCACATATGGCAGATGGAATTGGAATGAATGCACTTAGACACAATGCTGCTCTTTACAGCCTTAGAATAAAACCAACACAATTTCAGCGTGAAAACAAACTTTAAACCGCAAGGCAAAATACAGGGAATGGCTCCAGCTGAATAAAAACAGATTTAAAGTGACCTTAGTGAGGCTAGAATTAATATTTAGTTTAAAGCATCAAATCTGCTCGCTGCTAAAAGCATGTTGCCCTCTTTTAAAGCATCTGGCCTTTCAATAATAAAGCTGACTGTTCACAGGCAGATATTTAACATTTGTAAATGTACAGTAAAACGTTATTTGAAATGCCAAATTTTATACCAATGAAATGTGTACAATTTTTAAATGGAAAAAAAGGCCGTTTTTATTATAGAGGAAGCTCTAAAACAATATTGTCTCATTCAAAGCCAGGGTTCATATTACATTTAATGTGTCATGCTTTTAATTCATCAGTTATGTTTGTTAAAGAAATGGATAACATTATAGAAAATCTAACCCAGCCCTGTCGCCAGGCTGGACACACCTGGTCAACAGCAAGAGGAAAAAGATGCTGAAGGTCAGCTTGGACAGTGGCAGGAGTTTCAGAGAGCAGGGTGGCAAGGACAATTGCGGGCTGGGCTGAGGTGCTTGTGGCTTCCTGGGGTACCGCAAGCAGCCCCAGAACCATCCAGTTCTTAGGCTGCATGCCGCTCCACAAGGCCAAGTTCAGGGCCTTGGTCAGGGATGGGGAGGAGATAGATCAGTGAGGGGAGTTGGAGACAATCCCATTCCTTACTGAGGTTTGCAGCTAAGAGGGACCAAGCCCAGAATGGCTTGGAGTGAGGTGAATACTAACTCTGAATAGTAAAGAATAATAACTCTCGTGAGCCCATACCTGTTATTTACATTTTAACCCCCATGTGTGTGCCCCCGCCTCTGTGCATGCGCACATGTGTCCTCCTCATGCGCCCTACTCTCTGTGCTTGCATGGCAGAGACCCAAAGACCAGCTAGCCAGCGGGGGGCGCACGTATATGCGCAGTGGAGCTGGGCTGGGGCAACGGCTGATGTGTCTGCAGAGAGAGCTCTGCATGCCACCTGTGGCACGTGTCCTAGACCCTAAACTATGGGCCTAAAATTTTGTGTTAAAAACATCTTTGTTTTCTCCTATGCGTGTTAGATTGTAGCTAAAATTATTATCTCTAATCAGCATGTTGTGCTGTTCAGGATGAATATTTATCTGTCTGTGTCTGTCTGTCTGTCTCTCTCTCTCTCTCACACACACACACACACATACACACACACAGGGAGGTGGAGGCGGTAGACTGAATGTGTACAATGTCTAAACAGTGC